AAGCTGATGGTGTTCAAGATGCTGATCCTGTTCAGAGAAAGGCAGATCGCTGCCAGGAAGGCTGATGAGATCACATGCTTGTTGGAGAGACATTTGTTTCTGTTCTGAGTCACCAGCGGATGCAAGGCAGACCTGGGTCGGTAAGATCGTGCACGCACCTCATTTCAGTGTTGGCGCCTCCAGATACTGAGGCAGGCCTGTAGTTAGTTAGTTAGGGTCTCTGTTTGTGTCAGGCCACAAGTGTTGTTACTGATCATTGGAAGGACTCCACAACTTAAAGTCATATTTCACATTGGAGAGCTGATAAAATCCCACAAACTCAAGCCAGACTGGGGTTTTGCTCAGAAGGAATACTCAGGCACGTGCTACAGGACCAGTTATGGGAGGGGGAATACTGTAGATTTGTGTAAGATTGTAAGCTGTTGTGCTGCACCGCAGGCTAGCCCATACCATACACCCATACATTGATTACTTCGCTTTCTATCATCATCCATCAGAAGGCGCTGTGCTGTGCAGCACAAGGGTCTCAGCCTGTGGGCTGGGTGTATGTAAATTTATTGTATGTTTCCCAGCATTTGTGGTGTGTTTATTTGTCACATCTAAGTAAAAAAACCTGGTGTTGGGTTGCCTTCCTCGTTCGTGACTTTACTGTATCCTGGGGAGCCCACCCCGGTACACGGCTTACATCCCCACTGGGTTTGCAGACACTGGAAAGAGATTTCTGATCTTCACACCCAAGTACAATACCAGACATATACAGTTGTGTTCAAAATAATAGCAGTCAGACATCACTAACCTGATCAATCACTGTTTTTGGTAGAAATGATATTTCTACATGGCAAATAATTTACTAGCAGGTGTAGTAGAGTAATAGAAATCCAACAGACCCAACAGTCATGACATGCATGCTGCTGATTTGGTGTAATTGAATCACTAATAGAAAGGGGCAAAATAATAGCAGTGTGGAGTTCTATTAGTGAGGTCATTCATTCTTTGAAAAACAGGTGGCAATTATTGCCCTTATTTAAGGAAGGAAGGCAGCAAATGTTGTACATGCTGGTTACAGTGCATTTCTCTCTGAAATTCTGAGGAAAATGGGTCGTTTCAGATATTGTTCAGAAGAACAGCGTACGTTGATTAAAAAGTTGATTGGAGAGGGGAAACATATAAAGAAGTGCAGAAAGTGATAGGCTGCTCAGCTAAAATGATTGCAAATGCTTTAAAATGGCAACCAAAACCTGAAAGACGTGGAAGAAAGCGAAAAACTACCATTCGAATGGATAGAAGAATAGCCAAAATGGCAAGGACTCAGCCAACAATCAGCTCCCGGAAGATCAAAGAAGGTCTAAAGTTACCTGTGAGTACTGTTACAATTAGAAGACGTCTATGTGAAGCCAAGCTATCTGCAAGAAGCCCCCGCAAAGTCCCACTGTTGAAAAAAAGACGTGCTGAAGAGGTTACAATTTGCCAAAGAGCACATTGACTGGCCTAAAGAGAAATGGCGCAACATTTTGTGGACTGATGAAAGTAAGATTGTTCTTTTGGGTCTAGTGGCCGGAGACAGTTTGTCAGACGACCCCCAAACACTGAATTCAAGCCACAGTACACTGTGAAGACAGTGAAGCATGGTTGCGCAAGCATCATGATATGGGGATGTTTCTCATACTATGGTGTTGGGCCTATTTATCGCATACCAGGGATCATGGATCAGTTTGAATACATCAGAATACTTGAAGAGGTCATGCTGCCTTATGCTGAAGAGGAAATACCCTTGAAAATGGGTGTTCCAACAAGACAACGACCCCAAACACACCAGTAAACGTGCAACATCTTGGTTCCAGACCAACAAGATTGACGTTATGGAGTGGCCAGCCCAATCCCCGGATCTTAATCCAATAGAAAACTTGTGGGGTGACATCAAAAATGCAGTTTCTGAGGCAAAACCAAGAAATGGAGAAGAACTGTGGAATGTAGTCCAATCATCCTGGGCTGGAATACCTGTTCACAGGGGCCAGAAGTTGGTTGACTCCATGCAACACAAATGTACAGCAGTTCTCAGAAACAGTGCTTATACAACGAAATATTAATTAAGTGATTCAAAGGAAAGCAAAATCTTCAAACATTTTTCAGTTTATATAGTGAATGTTTGAGTTTGTAAAGAAGAATACAAACACTGCTATTTTTTTGAACAGTCTAATATTCACTTTTCTCTTCAATCATTTTAGAGGAACAACACAAATTTGATATATTTTTCTTCATGTTTTGATTTGGAATAGAATGTGTAGTGTTCCCAATGCATTTGTGTGTATGGAAATAAAAGCTATTAGAAGGATTTTCAGCTTTATTCACTTTTTTCAACACACTGCTAATATTTTGAACACAACTGTATATTTTTTACTGTAGGATAGAATATTTTAAATGCTGTTCGTGATCCTGTTGGGGGGAGTTCCACTCACATTTGGTCCTGTTGGGCACCTGTCACCTGAACAGGAAGTAAGACGAAATCCCCTCACAGGAAACAACAGAAATTTGATTTTAACTCTTTCCAACTCTAATGAAATAAATGTTCTTACTGCTGCCTGATTTCCATTAGGGAAGATCATCATCATTCATGTTCACTTTGAAGTGAGGGAAAGTCCACATAAGTCTTTGGTCACACCAAATCCTATTTTGAAATTGTATGACTTCACTTGAATTTGCACAATTTCAAAGTCGGATGTCAGTGCGACTTCAGGTGCGGTTTGGAAGACATCTGTTCGACTTCATGCACAGATTTCTATGCAAGGCGCACCTGAACTTGCAGTGCATGAACAACTTTCAAAATAGTGTGACTCCGTCGGATTTGATTGCTTTCATTGTGGACAATAGGATGCGACTTGTCATGTGATTTGAAACAATCAAACTTGCATGACGATTTGCACCGGGGACTAAAAGGGCCAAAAACAACAGTATAAACTTGCCAGAGGTAACTCTTCCCCAGCCCATTCAGAACTGATTAAAAAGAATCTTTCCTGGTGCCAACATGGCAACATACATGTGGTAGCTCCACATGTAAGCTGACATGTTGGCGCCAGGAAAATGGAATATTATATCAAATACTACCATTGTATGCTGCCATGGATTGGCGTCAGGAAAAGAAAATTACGGTAAGTATTTGATACAATTTTCCTGGCGCCAACATGGCAGCATACATGTGGTAATATGCTGCCATAGATTGGCACAAGGAAATGAATATTATGAAAAGTATTTGATCCAATTTTCCATTTTCCTGGCGCCAACATGACAACATACATGTGGTAGAATTCTGCCATGGATTAGTGCCAGGAAAGGAATATTATGATAAGTATTTGATACAATTTTCCTGGCGCCAACGTGGCAGCATACATGTGGTAGAATTCTGCCATGGATTAGTGCCAGGAAAAGATTATTATGATAAGTATTTGATACAATTTTCCATTTTCCTGGCGCCAACATGGCAGCATACATGTGGGGCTACTACCACATGTATGCTGCCATGGATTGGTGCCAGAAAAGGAAATTTAAAGTAAGTAGTAGATACAATTTTCTGTTGTTTTTTTTTGGAATTGGGCTATACAAAAGTTCTAGACATTTAAAAGTGGAACACATTGCTGATATTTGTTATAATTAAATGCTTTAACTTGGTAGTCTGCATTTCAGATGGGGTCTCCTGAGAAAATAGCCTTAGAGGCCGTTCACATTACTTGCAGTGTGGGAAATGCACTTTTTTCCGTGTGCGTTTCCTGCACCATATGGGAATGCGCTGCCCTCTTTTAGATGCCTACTGGGCCATGCCCTCCTGACGTGTTTTGCCCCACCCACAGAGCTTAGTCATAGAGGACTAAGCCCTGTGGGCGGGGTGAAACATGTCAGAGGGGTGTGGCCTGGGAGGAGCAACTTTTCATTTACTCATAGCTTTGGCTGTTTTTAAGAAGACTCTAATGTTTAAAAACCAAAGCTCATAATGTTGTTTTAAGAGGCCAGGTTGATGTTGTCATTAGATTCTATATTTGTAGGAGTGATTGATCTGATTATAAGTTAAATGATATTTTATAATTTTCTTACCAAAAGATGCTCATATAGCTATACTATACACACTTAACTTTTAAATGTGCTTTTCCTGCTGAATTATTCATTATAAAAAATGAAGGATAGAAGGACAATTCAACAGGTATAGTATGGCTACCACTTAGTATCTGTACTGTACTTAGTAAGTTCACTAGGTGCCTACCCAGGTGTAAGCAGTTCGTCCAGTGGTATTTACAGTAACTGGTGGCCAGTGTCATTCCCTGCCAGAGTTCCTGATCATGTTCCTGTCTTCCTGGGTATTCCTACCCACTTTTTGTGTGTTCACATTTTCCTGTTCATCATAACAGCCACTGCAGGTTGCAAGGGTGGAGTGACAACTCATGTGGCCCCCAGGTTTAAAGATGGCCACCGTGTGGCAGCCATCTTTATGATGCAACATTAATGCGGCAGGCCTGCGTGGAGGGGCACCAAGCTCAGCGATATACAGAATGGCAGGAGACTGAAAGCTGGCAACCCAATAAAGGTACCAGGAGTCTCTCATGTGTAGTACCTCCTTAACCACTTGCCTAGCGGGCACTTATACCCCCTTCCTGCCCAGGCCACTTTTCAGCTTTCAGTGCTGTCACACTTTGAATGACAATTGCGCAGTCATGCAACACTGCACCTATATGAAATTTTTATACTTTTTTCACACACAAAAGAGCTTTCTTTTGGTGGTATGTACTGGTACCGCTGGGTGTTTTATTTTTTGCGCTATAACCAAAAAAAGAGCAAAAATTAAAAAAAAATGTTTTTCTTTGTTTCTATTATAAAATTATGCAAACAGGTAATTTTTCTCCTTCACTGATGTTGAGGCTGCACTGATAGGCAGCACTGATAGGCAGCACTGATGGGCACTGATGAGGTGGTACTGATAGGCGGCACTGATGAGCTGGCACTGATATGCAACAATGATGGGCACTGATAGGCGGCACTGATGGGCACTGATAGGCAGCACTGATAGGCAGCACTGATAGGCGGCACTGATGAGCTGGCACTGATATGCAACAATGATGGGCACTGATAGGCAGCACTGATGGTTGGCACTGACTGGCAGCACTGCAGGGCACTGACTGGCGGCACTGCTGGGCACTGATGGATGGCACTGCTGGACAGCACTGATGAGTGGCACTGATGGGTGGCACTACTGGGCACTGGTGGGTGGCACTGATGGGCACACAGGTGGGTGGCATTGCTGGGCACTTGTGGGCAGCACTGCTGGGCACAGTTGGGCATCACTGGTGGGTGGCACTGCTGGGCACTGATCATCAGTGCCCTGATGATTGGTGCCGATCTGTCCTCTGACAATTGCCGGTTATAGGCAGTACTTTCCTCACGCTGTGACAGCTTGAGGAAAGTGCAGCCGATAACCGGCAACTGCATTTTCTGGTGATCTGCTGTGTCATTGGACATGGCTGATCATGTGGTAAAAAGCCGCTGTGATTGGCCTTTTACCATACCACGTGATCAGCTGTGTCCGTAGGACACAGCGATAATGGAGATCGCCAGGTGTGCACCCCCGGGGGCGCGGGAGGGTGCATTCTGCGAGGATGTCATATGACGTCTTCCCAGAACTGGCAGGCCACAATGTAGCCGTCATTCAGCTATCTGCAGTTGGAAAGTGGTTTTAAAGTGTTATTAAACCCACTGCAGTAAAATCAGTCTATATATACAGTAAAGCATGCTTGTTATGCTCACTGTGGAACCCAATGGGTTAATTCTACGCATTGTGTAAAAAGACTGTTTGATCCTGTCTTCTGTGATCCTCCTCTTCTTCCATTGTCTCAGACTCATTTCCTGATAGAACAGAGGCTTGGGGGTAAGCTGCACATGCTCAGTTTGGTGTGTATTGCAAGAAAGTTTTTTTTTCTTGGAAGGGTGCATGTGATCACCACAGGGTCAATCAGCACTGTCCAGACAGAGAGTCAGGGGTCCTGCAGTCTCATAGGACAGTGAGAAGAGAATGAAAACTTCTCCTACAAGCTTTAACCAGTGCTGTGCTGGACACTGATAAAAGATACAAGACTGCTCTAACTGCTGATGAGAAAAGGTATTAAGCAGTTTATATTTACTAAAAATAATTGCATTTCCATGTTCTGTGTACTGCGGGAGACCAGATATAGTGAATGCAGGGTCCTGGGTTTAGTAACACTTTAACAGCATCATGGGCCCCTTGGGAAAGTAATGCACTGGGGCCCCTACCAGGGAGATGGTGACCTGTGGCGAGCATAGCGTGGCTTTATAATCTGCTTAGAAATTTTTGTCTGATTTTTACAAATTTTTTTTTCTTCGGTTTTATTTCTTTTTAATTTTGATTTTTAATTTGATAATTTTTTTACAACGCTGTTGGGGAGGGGGGCTTTGATGAAATATCAGGGGTCTAAACAGACCCCAGAATGAAATATCAGGGGTCTAAACTGACCCCTGAAGTCTCATTTTTGAGACAGAGAAAGGGACTGAGGACAAATCCCCAGTCCCTTTCTCTGTAGCCTCAGCTGCACTGCAGATGAATGAACAGGAGACAGAGGCGCCTGCCCATTCATAAACTGAACCATAGTAAATACAGATTTACCTGCAGCTGCTGCTGGGGGGAGGAAAGGAGGGTGACTTTGGAGGTACTAACGTCCTCCAGAGTGTCCCCTTCCCCTTAGTGATACTGTACTGGAGGATGTAGAGAGGCATTCTAGAAGCTCTAATGGGGCACTTACGATGTATTAGGTTAGTACCTCCAGAATGTCCCTTTACATCTTTTTCTAGAGTACCCCTTAGTGCTCCCTTACTGTACGTCCTGCTCCTCCAGAGTGCCTCATTTTAAATACCTTCTGGTCTGGCCACAACTCATGAGCGACTGGTGGTTAAACACTTTGTGCAGCGGGTTGTGTGAATTTAAGCCACATTCCACTCTGCTCACAAGTCGCGGATGGCCAGGCCAGGAAGCAACAAGGAGGATTTTTCCAAGGGAGCCATATGAACTCAACACTCGCTTACCCTCTTGCCTGAAAAAGCTGAGAAATCACAGGTTCAACATAGTGCAGGTAGCAGGGCCAGAAATTTTGATGACAGGCCAGGCTACTGCTGAGCAAGACAGGTACTCTTAATGTGTCCCCTCTCCTATTGTGGTGTTTAAGGGAGCTCAGGAAAATTCACAACACCAGGCATGCACAGGATGTAGGGATGGGAGCAGGGGCAGACTGACAACTTATGGGGCCCCCGGGCAATAGGGGATCATGGGGCCCCTGTGTCCTTGGCCAAACTCAAAAAAGCCTATGAAAAAGGTACCAGGGGCATCTCATGGGGCCCCCTACTGACCCCGGACCCTCGGGCAGTGTCCGAGTTTCCAAATGGTCCATCCTCCCTTGGATGGGAGATATGCTGGATGGAATGCCATGAAGGAACAGGTGCAGTGACGGTAGTTAACCTTTGTTATCAAACCCAAGTAGAGGAGGGGGGAGAACACGGGAAGTATCAGAGAGGTGTCTTGCTGTGGCTGGAAGTCAAGCAGAGACAGTAGCTGGCTGGAACCTACTTCACCTGCATCACCAAGCACAGGAAGAGGAGAAGGGAGACCACAGGAAGGATCACAGAGGCATCTGTGCTGCAGCTGCAGGGCTAGAACAGACAGTAACAGGCTGGATCGGTGTGAGAGCTGGGTGTACTCAGGGCTCTTCTACCTGTTGTTATGCCCAAAGGAGTGCGGGAGGGACAGCAGAGTCAGCGGTCTGCAGTGGCATCACTAGGGTTGGTGTCACCGGGTGCGGTAAAACATGGTGCCACTCCCTCAATATTTTTTTTCCCATATAACACTGCAAATAATGGCAATAGTAGTGCTGTTAACAACTCTCAAGGGATGTGGTGGTGTTCAGGATGTTGGTATGGCATATGGGGTGATCACGACACTGGTATGGAGTATGACGATGATCAGGGTGTTGGTATGGCGCATGGTGGTGACCAGGGTGCTGATATGACATATGACGATGATCAGGGTGCTGGAATGGTGTATGGGGTGATCAGGGCGCTGTTATGGTGTATGGTGGTGATCAGGATGCTGGTATCGTGTATGGTGGTGATCAGGATGCTGGTATGGTGTATGCTGGTTATCAAGGCGCTGGTATGGTGTATGCCGGTGATCAGGACACTGGTATGGTGGTGATCAGTTTGCTGGTATGCTTTATGGCGGTGATCAGTTTGCTGGTTTGAAGCATGGCGGTGATCAGGATGCTGGTATGGAGCATGGCTGTGATCAGGATGCTGGTATGTGCATGGCGGTGATCAGGATGCTGGTATGGTGGTGATCAGTTTGCTGGTATGTGCATGGCGGTGATCAGGACGCTGGTATGGGGTATGGAGGTGACCAGGATCCTGGTATGGGGTATGGCGATGTTCAGCACGCTGATTTGGCATATGTTGGTGATCAGGGTGCTGGTATGGTGCATGATGGTGATCAGGATGCTGGTATGGGTATGGTGGTAATCAGGAGAGCTGGAGCTGCTATGGGGAAACTATCAGCTGACAATACAAAGTATGGTGATCTGGGAGCAGACAATGTGATGTATGGGTGATCTGGAATGGATCAGAACTGACCTGAGAATGGTTGTCTGTGGAAATCTAGATCTTAACAGGATCAGGATGGCCAAGGGGAAGATGCTGTAGGTGCCTGCAATTGCAGTGGGCAACTCCTGGATGCATGCCCGGCACCAGCGATGTCACTGCATTTACCTGCATAGGATTGGCCGCAGGGAAGATGCTTTTGGTGCAACATGCCTGGATGGATGCCCGCCCGGCGCCAGCGATGTCATTGCCTCTCGTCCCCTCCACATCACGCAAGGTCAGTCAGCCTCAGCTGCACCCAGGAGGGGAGGATTCAGTGCAGGCTCAGCTGCGCTACCTGGGGCGTTGCGCTGTCACTCCTAAATGCAGAAGCTTCTGTATTTAGAAGTGACAGCAGTGAGAAGAAAACACAGGGCTAGCGCTGGAGGTAGCGGAACCTGTGGGCAGGCCTCGGGATGGTGTCACCCCTCTGGCAGGTGTCACCTGGATCCAGACCGCACCCCCATAGCGACGCCACTGGCACTGTGGAGTTGCCCATGAAACCTGCAGACCAGGCCAGTATATGCTGAGAGGCAGCAGAGCTCTCATGCCATGTGTCTGCTCTGGATGGTTGTCAACATAGTCATGGCGGGGGCCCCCTATTGGCCACGGGCCCTCGGACAGCGCCCAAGTGCCTGAATTGTCAGTCCGCTCCTGGCAAGTGGGCAACTCCAAGAGCTATTAAAAAAAATTGATTGTCAGGTAGTTTTACCCTGTAAACAAAAATGTAAAAGTCAGCATCTACAAATACTGTATCTGCTGACTTTCAATAAACACACACTTACCTGTCCCAGGATCCAGCGATGTCCTCAGCTGACCCAGCTCTTTGCCAGGCCTTGGATCCAGGCGCCAGCATCTTAAATGTTGGCAGCTGTGACTTCTTGTGGCTTCACAGCCATCTCCCTACTGCATATGCATGAGGCGCGCTGCCTCCTGTGAATGGTCCCGCAGTCTCATGGGACCTGTGACATGTCCCAAGAGGCTGCGGGGGGCGGACTTCAGCTCCGATCACGTAGATGGTCAGAGCAGAAGTGGGAGCAGATACCTGTCAAAATCAGATATGTGCTCCCACCCCTCCAAAAAAAAAAGGCATTCCAAATATGCGATGGGGGGGAAAGCAGAACATCCCATTTTGGGTGAAGTCCCGCTTAAACTTTCTAGCTTCTACCTAAAAATGAAATATCAGTTTTCTGTGGGCTTGCCCTTTAATGTGAGCAAATATTACTCTTTCTGAGAAATATATGACAAAATAAATCCTACAGAAGCTAGGGCATGACTGCATTGCCTATGAAACTAATTGCAAGTCAACAGATTAGCCAATGACGTATGCTGTATAAAGCTAATGTAAAACATTCTTTAAGTAAGCATATTTCAAGCTATGGCTTTTCCATGGTTGGATATAAG